TTTTTTGTTTTGCAATAATATATTTTAAACTAGAATTCGATAAGTATCTTCAGGAATTATATTTTCTAAAATTTTAATGTTGACTTTCTTCTTAACCTGAATTTGCAAAAAAGTCAATTTTGTAAAATATGTAACTTCCGCCCCTTTTAACATTCATTTATTCAATTAAGCTGGGAATTGGTGATTTCAAAAGTTACTTTATTATCTAATAGGCGGATAAATAGGTTTATTTTATTTTGTTGTATGTACGTTGATATCTTCAAACTTTAAATAGAGATTTATATAGTTTTTTCTATTTTTGAATACATTTAAGACTTAAGGTGGTCAACCCAAATTCAAATGAATTTCTTTAATGATAAATTTATACAACATAAGTAAACTAATTTTTTAAATAAGTTTACTAATGTTGTATTTTACTTTAAAAAAACATTAAAAAAAAATGTAAAAATTTCCCTCATTTATTCAACATTTCTCCTGTTTTAGTATGTTGTTTAAAAAAAAGATTTCTCTGGATGTAAACATCCTTTTTAAATGCCGTTGGGTATTTAAGCTACTTATATGTTAACTTAGGTACCCTAGCAGTTTTATCTATTTTACTGGTATATTTCTAAAGTTATAGATGTTTCTATAATATTTTCTAGTTTTATCGTGTTGCCCTCATTAGAAAATGTCAAAAAGAAAAACTTATTAAAAAGCAAAACTAATTATTCTGCTACCAGTCTTTTTCCAATATATTTTAAACTAACTGGGAAAATTTCAAAGAAAAAGGATAAACCAATCTGGAGATATCTTTTTTTAACTTTATCTGATTTGCTATAAATCTAATTTAGAGAAAATCGAAAAGCAATTAAAAAAATTACTATTAAAATGCTCCAGCTTCTTAAAAAGGAACTGCTTTATCTAAAAATCTACTTCTGCTTCTTTATCTAAGAATCCTTTTTTAATTCCGCTTAGTTTATGCCTTCTTATTTTGTTTCTGTTGGTAGATTTATGATTTGTTTTTGATATACGCAGTGCATCATGTAACTTAATAGCTTCATTCATAAACCGTTCCAATAAAAATATCCAGGCTCAGGTGTTTTATCTTTCTAATAAAAACAGCCTCTACATTTTTTTGAAAGAAAATAGCATCTAAGCACTTTCCATTTTCTTTTGAAATCGCAGTTCCAACGTCAATTGCTAAATTCCATTTAGCGATTGACGCCCATGCATTTGCCAGGTACCATCAAGAGATACCTGGCAATTTACAGGCTCATAATGAATGACACTATAAGCCTTTCTGGTCTGGAATGCAGCTTTAGTAGTACTTTGAAAAAAAAAAATTATATACAATTTTTTAGTTAAATAATTAAAGTTTTTTGACGTCATAGGAGGTGGCATATTTATAAATGCTGCAAAAGTACGCAGAGATTCATAACCTTTTCCAAGTTCTCTAGAGGCCACGATAGCATTAATTACAGCAGCAACAGATTTCCCAGGAGAAGTTAAAATTAATTTATGGCTTAGAAGAGATTTTATCATATTTTGATGATTGGAGCCTGGGAACAAAAAAGCCCCTAAATTTGAGACGTACCTGCCCCAAACGTGAGAGCAACAAGTTGATAAAATATCTTTTGTACTATTCTCAACTAAACTTATATTTATCGGCAAATTTTAAATTTCATAGTAAAATATTTTAGCGTTCAAAAATTATGACCATATAAAATTTGCAACCCCCTCTAATTGAGGAGGGTTGAAACTTTATATAGTTATAATTTTTAAAAGCTGAAATTTTTTACAACGAAATTTAAAATATATTGATAAATACAAGTCTAGTTGAGAATAGTACAAAAAAGATTTTATCAGCTTGTTGCTCTCACGTTTGGGGCAAGTACGTCTCAAATTTTGAGGCTTTTTTGTTCCCAGGCTCCAATCATCGCAATTTTTTGCAAACCATCATTATTTGACATAAGTATAAACATATAAATATTTGGAGTTTGCTCCATGTCTGAAAGTTATCTCAAATACCAAAAAATGCTACATCCGCCCCTGGTACAGCACAAAAGGCTAATTTATAAGTTCAATAAATATGTGAAAGGAAAACTATTACAGTGGATAGTCGTTTTCTTAACTTATAGGAGACAAAGAGTGGTCTTAGATGATATTTTATTATTGTTGAATGCTGTTCTTAGAGGAGTTCTACTAGAATCATTACTCAAACTTTTACTGATATAGATAAAAAAGAGGGAATTTGATTCAGATACTTAAAGTTTTTAAAGATATTATTTGTGTTAAATTGTATAATCGACTAGTTTTTAAATCTAATGTCACAACAAGTGGTCACATTATGAATTACTCAAGAGAAATATGTAAATAAGAGTTATTGGAATAATTTACCAAGTAAATTAGTAAAACCGACTTCAACAATTGAATTTAAAAATAAATTGGACAATTTTTTATTAAATTGTGGCTCGAAGTTGTTATGAAATGAGTGTCATAGTATTATTAAAAACACAGCAAATACCATACTGATATTTTCAAACTTTTCTGTTTTGCCCAAAATTGAATGTAAACCTAAAATATACTATTTCTTGTTTGCATTTAGCAATTGATCCGCACAATTTTCACACAAGGACATCAAATTCAATATCAAGTTCACACTATAAGTGTGAACTTGAATATTGAATTAAGAATTACCACAAAATAATTAGTAAGAGGATATATTGCGAGATTTTCTTATTCAGCAACTTACTAGTTTTATCAATTTTGAATTTTTGAAAAACATTTTGTACAGTTAACAGGTATATGCCACCTTACAATTGTCGGTATTTTCTAAACTGTTTTTTTTACACGCTCTAACAATAAGATCTCTAAACCGATTCTTAAAGGAAAAAGTGTCTATCTTGTTATTAAAATTGGATGATTTTAGATTAGCCATAAACAGATGATTACAAATTGGCTGATTATGACCCGTTGTTTTAAAAAAGATGGAAAATATTCGAGTTTTAGTGTGCATTATTTGCACTTTTTGCACAATTTTTTGCAAAAATGTTATAAGACAAAATAATTTTATTTTTTTCTAAATAATAAAAATACTTTTGTAATTGGTAGTTTTGCGAAAATATAAATATATTACTGTTACATTTCAAGGTTATGTTGCTGTTACATCTTAAGGTTGCTTTCAAAGAGTACAATTAATAATTTTAAGTAAGCACATAATAATAGAATCAATAATAATTATAATAAAAAAGAAAATGTTGTGTTTCATCAATTAAGACTCATCAGAAAAATTGTAAATTCTAAAATACTTAAACTATTTAAACCAAAGTTGGACTTAACATAAATCGGCTGTTAAAGCCTAGATCACCTAGGCTCCGTACATTGTCATTGTACATGTACACAGTTATTATTAAATAAATAAATAAATACATATATACATACATACATACATACATTCATACATACATACATACATACATACATACATACATACATACATACATACATACATACATACATACATACATACATACATACATACATACATACATACATACATACATACATACATACATACATACATACATACATACATACATACATACATTCATTCATACATACATACATACATTCATTCATTCATACATACATACATACATACATACATACATACATACATACATACATACATACATACATACATACATACATACATACATACATGCATTCATACATACATACATGCATTCATACATACATACATACATACATACATACATACATACATACATACATACATACATACATACATACATACATACATACATACATACATACATACATACATACATACATACATACATACATACATACATACATACATACATACATACATACATACACACATGCTAACATACATACATACATACGTACATATATGATGAGTGATATATATTGGTGAGTAAAACATACAAAAAAAAACCTTAGTATTTTTTTGTTTTTGTATGCATTTAGGTTAAATGAAATTGGCAGTAGAAATGATCCAAACAGGTCTGTAACTTTCATAGGCTGATATGACATAGGCTTCTTGTTGATTAAATTCTTGAAACAAAAAATAGTCTATTCTTGATTATTGATAATGGTTTTTGAAAAAAAATCCTGAAAAGCGCAAGGAAAAAACGGTAAAAACACAGACTAGTAGGTTGAAATGAGTATCGCCTTTATTCGGTTGAAAATCAAATTATCTCAAATCGGTTGATAAAATAGGTCGAGAAAAAAATCGGTCGAAAATAAAAACGTCATAAATCGGTCGAAAATAAGAAGGACTATTTTCGGTTAAAAACAATTTAGGCCTCAGTAGGACATCTAAAAATTATTTTCAATTTTTAGTAGATGTTCTATTTTGTAGATCAAGTTAGTAGGTGGAGGTTTTTGTAGGTCGAACTATGCGACACGGGTGAAACTTATGAGTTTTTAATATAAATATTTCAATATAAATCAATTTGAAATATAAACATTTTAGCTAAACTAAAATTATCAATGCAAAAAGTAAGTGTTAATCAGGGCCGACGATAAGAAGGGCCAGGGGGTACCTGCCCCCCAGGAGTTCACGAGCTATATCTCTATATCTAGAATTTTCTAAAAAAAAAAAAAAGTCCTTAACAAAAAAAGTGAGGGCCCCCTATTTTAAAACCCGTGTCGTCGGCCCTGAAAATTCTAGATATAGAGAACTTTTTTTAGAAATTGACAATTGTGCCCCCCCCCCCCCACATCAACACCCGTGTAGTCGGCCCTGTTAATATCATGCTAAAACTGAGTTATACAAATTTTAGAGTTTACATATTTGAAAATGACAAACTTTCAACACTTAAATTACTGTACAGCAGCATTATCGTCCACGTCCAAACATTAAACATGACTAAAAAATTAAAGGCGGAATTCTCGGAGTCGATCGCGTCTTCTATACATGACAGCAGAGTCGGAGATAGTTGTCAATTGTTTGCCAAAATTGAAGAAGACTCATGGACCAAGGAAATGAAGATACCTGCGATTCGGATCCTAATAATGACAGTGACGGTAAAAATGAAGAAATGGTTGAAGATCCTCCTATTCCTGCTGTATTGCCATTTCTTCATGTTGGTTTTTTAAAATTTGACCAAACAACACAGCAACCTATCATGTCGCAAAGTCTTAGAACTGAGATCATAGTTCGCGGATCTAACTTATTTCAAAACAGGAACGTCCTCCTGAGTATGCAACAAGCTTTTCTTGCAAACTCAAGAGGACGTTTAATGAACTCGACGTGGTTCAAACAACGACTTGCAAATGGTAATGAATTGGGTCGTTCGTGGTTGTTATATTCACCAGTTAACGAAGCGGCTTATTGTTTCTGTTGTTTACTATTTCCAACTTCCAGCTTATATTCACAATCTTCCTTTGAATTAGCTAGTGGATTCACTAACTGGAGACACACATAATGATTAAAAGATCACGAGAACAGTCCCTGTCACCGCAAATCATTTACTATATGGAAAGAAGCTGAACGAAAAATAGTTTATGGAAAAGGAATAGAAATTCAGAACTCGAAACTCAAATTGAATCTGAAAAGCAACATTGACAAAATATCTTAAAAAGAATTCTTTCTTGTATTAAAGTTCTTGCTTCATCAGAACATGGCTTTACGTGTTCATAGAGAAAAACTTAGTACTGCTAATGAAGAAGCGAATATTGGAAACTTTCTTGCCTTTTTGAAACTCCTCGCTGAGTATGACCTAAATTCAAACCACCAACAGCATGCTAAAGAAAATCCAGTGTCCGCCTCTAATCTGTCTCCAGACATTCAAAATGAATTCATCAACATACTTGCTTGTACTGTTAGAGATAAGTTTTTCACCAGTGTCAAAAGAAGTATTTTGGTATCTTATTTGATTCGACTCCTAATCTGGGACATCGAGAGCAGTTATCCATAGTAATAAGATTGTGGACATAAGTTTTATGTTAAGTTAACAAGATTGTGGACATAAGTTACCAAGAATATTGTGATCAGATAGTCATTTTTTGGATACATTGAAATCCATGCCAAATATGCAGTAACTCTTAAAACTGTTATTACTGAGAAACTTGAATCGGACAATCTACCACTGGCAGATTGTAGATCCCAATGTTACGACTACGCTGCTGTGATGACAGGACATACCTCTGAACTTCAACAACAAATATGTGTTGATTATATTTGTTAAACAGCAAAATAAATGTAAAAAAAAAAAAAAAAAAAAAAAAAAAAAATATGTGACCGAAATCCTCGAGCATTGCATATGAATCGAGATAACCATAATTTGAACTTGGTTGGAGTTCATGCTGCTGAAGTAGATCCTATAGTCATAACATTTTTGGAACAGTTGATTGAATTTATCTGTTTTTTTCTCGTTCGACTCTGCGATGGGAACAATTTAAAAAATGCTGTCAAGATCACTGTTAAACGGGAAGCAGAAACCAGATGGAGTGTAAACGCAGAAGCTGTTAAAGCTATTTCTGAAGAAGTCACTGAATTGGTTAAACTTCTTGAAAGTCTTTTAGATGACATGAGCCGATGGATACAAGAAATGAAGCTGGAACTTTACTTCAAAATATTCTAAAATTTTATTTCATTGTTTTAACTTATTTCTAGAACAACATTCTCGGAAAAGTAGACCACGTTCAAAAACGACTACAAAATCCCACATTGAACTTTAAAGATGCAGCATCTGATATGAAAGTGTTGAAAAATTATCTCAAAGAATTTGGTGACCATTTGTGCCAAAATGCAATTGAGTATAGCAAGGGCAGATGTATGGAATAGGGAATTAAAGTTGAGAGAAGAATAAGACGACGGCGAAATCTCTGCTGAAAACGAAGTTAGCAGAGTTTTAAAAATGATATTGGATCGTTTCCAACAAGAACTAACAACTTGCTTTAGACGATTAAATAATCTCAATGAAAAATTTTGATTCTTGCTCGATGTAAGAATATTGCTAAAAAGGGATGGTGATGTAAATCAAGAAAATTTGCAGCAACATTGTTTGCATCTGGGAAACTTTTACAATACAGATGTCAATGGAACAGAATTATTTATTGAAATCTCAGATGCTGCTTAAATCTCGTGGGGGGCCAATACCAACAACTCCACTGGATTTACTTTCATTTATTTTGTCATACGGAGACGACGTTTTTTCCAAACTTACGCATTGCATTACAAATCTTCAAAGTCAATAGCAAGCTGGGAACGTTCTTTCAGAAAGTTGAAGCTTATTCTTTCATATCTACGAATTTCAGTGAGGCAACAACGTCTTGTTGATTTGGCAATCCTTAGTGTCGAAAGAGAAACTCTAGAATCAACAAACTTTGACGACATAATAGATAAATTTGCTGCAGTTGAAGCTAGAAAGATCAAATTATAATTTATAAATAGTTAATGATTATTGGATCTGATTGACCATCTGTCACTTTCAATAATTAATTAACATGAACCATAAAGGATACTTAATTGGAAACATGAGTTAAATTGAGTTTGCATTATGATTAGCATTTGCATTTTTTAAGTTAAAATTGTCATATACTTGGAAAACTTAAGTATTTTTTTTAGTTCGCATATCTGCTTCAGGGGGGCGCCAATTTTCAACATTGCCCTGGGCGCCAGAAACCCTAGCTACGCCACTGTCAAAAGAATCAGTAATCACCATTAAGAAGTTATAAAAATAGAAATATAAACTATATTATTAAAATATATTAAATAAAAACTGAAAAAAACAAAACAAGCAAAAAAACAGTGTAAGAATCTTTAAATGCAGGGAGGCCACGAAATGCTTAAACCAGCTAGGACAAGTGAGCATACAATTTATACATATTGTTGGAGGTGTAAATAGATAATATTATCTCGCACCCATTTATCTACTGACATCATTTAAGGATAACCCTTATTAACTAAAGTGACTATGCTTAAATAACAGGGTTGATTTATAGAAATTAAAGAAACCCGGCTATCTTATCTTCTAATTATTTGTCTCGGTGTTTATGTCTCATTTAAAATGCCAATGGCCGAAGTTTGTTGTTCTTAAAGATTCTTTTAAATAACTGGATACTGAAATTACGTTATCAAAGTTATTTTAACCGTAAGAATATTTTTGACATATTGGTTTAAAAAGAAATTTTTTGAGAAAATGCTCTAAACAGATTACACAGTTCAATCAGTTCTAATTTGGTTTTCTACACGGCTTTTAATAAGTGATTATTAGATTTTTCAAAGATTTGATAAATTACTATACTGACTTTCCTATTTATAAATAAGTGCAGTATTTATAAATACATGCATTTAATAAGAATTTTAGTTTACGGAGATGTAAGTTGTAAAATTTACAAATTAAAATAGATTTAAATGTATGATTTAGATCGAAATCATTTGATTGAATGATTTAGATCTTAATCAAAATTTTTAAAAAATCCAAATTTTTTACTGTTTTTTGTCATTCTTATTCTATAGAATAAAAATGACAATAAACAGTAGAAATTTTGGATTTTTTTAAAATTTTGACTTTAAGTTGCAAAATATAACCGAATACAAAAACACTATGCAATTTTAAAAATGCTAATATATTGCAGGGGCATACTTATACATACTGAAATCATACTAAAATAGGTTGTCATAATGAAATAAGTAGTCACCAGGGGCTTTAGTATATACATTTAATGTAATAAAGTACAATATGCATAATAAAGTACAAATGTAATAAAGTACAACATGCGAAGTAATATAGTAAAGTTTGAAAATAAGTTTAAAATATTTGAAACAATTATTCTCAACAAGGTGAACACAAGAAATAATTAAATCTTTGAGTTACTAAATATTGTGTGTTCTTAAAATGTTTAAAAAATTTCCTTAATGCTCCAGACCCCTGAATCTATAATGATCAATATTGCAGACTAAGTTTACATTTAACAACATGATATTTTACATAAGTTCACTCGTAATTTAATATGTATATATACAAGTTTGTGTTCAATTGCCTGTAAGTTCCTGTTTATTTGATTATTAGTTTAATTAAGTTTAATAATAGTTATTTTTTAAATTTCTTTAAAAAAGCAGTTGTTGTTAAAAGTCTTGTTTTTATAAAATCTATTGTACAAATTGTTTTAAAATATTTACATTTAAATAATAAAATATTTATCTAAACTTATATAATTTATTAAACTTTATATACTTATTAATAAAACTTACTCATCTTTTTATTGAAAATGTTATAAACAGAAAATGCTTAAAAATTAAGCATTTTCTGTTTATAAACAATTAATAAAAGTAAATCATTGATCCGGGCATATTTTGCATCATCGGTAAGGAAGGAGGTTTAAACTTTCTAGTTTAATACTTTTCTAATGTACTTTGTGGCAAAAACCGTTTAGTCTTCTTGGAACACCTAAAACAAAAAACAAGAAAAACCTTTTATAAAACTTATTTTATTTTTTTTAAAGTTCTTAAAAAATTTCTCTTTTAATTAAATGTGTTTTTAAAATCCAAATTCAGCATTCAGTTAAATTCGCTTTAGAAGTCCAAATTCGTGTTTCAGTTAGATTCGGGCTAAATATTTGGCTTAAAATTGTCTTTCAGTTAAATTCGGTATACACATATGATCTAAATTTGTCTTTCATTTAAATTCAAGTCTTAAAATGATGACTTCGCCAGTCCTTAGTTCAGAAGTTGATCATTTAAAAAAACCTTGTTATTTTTTCTGTAAAAGTATGTTAAGGAAGCTTTTTTGTGGTCTGATGAGTGTTAATGCCCCTGAATTGATGCCCCTAAATTTTTCCAATCTTTATATCCCATTGAAGCTAAAGCACATTTTGAGGGTTTAAAAAGCTTGCAGACAAAACAGAATACACAACCCAATGCTGGGCAATATATGAGCCAGTCTCTATTAAACGTTTCACAATTTACTTTTTCCCCCACAATTAAGCTTTTTGAACAATATCGATCAGGATCTTGATACACCATTTTAGAGGATTTTAAGTCATAATTTACATTTTGACATTTTAATGGACCGTTCTTTATCCAAAATTAAAAATCTAAATATACTGACTGACAAAAGTCGTGAATGAGTTGTATATCAAAAAAAGTTTTTATTTTTGTTATATTCTTATCTGCTTTTTTCCTCGCATTGTATCAATTTTGGTAGTGGAAAATAACAAACGCCCTAAAAAAAAAGAAAATAAAGACAGCAAAATATTAATGTATAAATAATTTTTTTGACAAAATTTTTCTTAATTTAATTTTCAATTTTTTTTTTAGATTATTTTATTTAGATTTTCGATTTTGTATAGTATTTGTTTCCTTTCTTCCAGTATTATTGTTTTATTCTCTGTAATTTCTTATAGCTTTATTTTGCCACAAATTCTTAAAACGCTTACTATAAAAATATATGGTCAAGAAAAATATTACTTTAAACATGGCTTGTAAACTGTTTTTTTAGCCTTCAGTCATTCAGCTCTGTTTTTTATAAATGTTTTTGCAATTAGTATTAATTTCAAGTTTGATTTCTTATTATTTTTTGTAAGTCATGTTATTAATTTTATGGTTATTTTTTATTAGAATGGCACTTGGGTTGAATCAGTTGCGTTTGAGTAATTTACTATCAACAGCATGTAAGTTTGAAAATGATTTTTAGTTTTTATTATAAATTTTTATACTCTTGTAAAATTTAAGATTCAAGTTTTCAAGTTAAAGATATCTAAAATATTTTAGTCTTGATTTACTCAAAAAAAATATTATTTTAAGTTTTATTTAAATTTAAATGGAAACTTGTTTACTAAATAAACTAATTAAAATTTAAGTTGAAGCTAATTAAAATTTAAGTTGAATTAAAATTAAAGTTGAAGAGAAATGTTTTTATTTTTTTGTTATTTTTTTGAAAAGTATTTCTATATATAAAGTAAATAATTGTTGAATATTGCAGATTTCCCTAATTCCCTAAACAAAATTGTTATTATAATTTAATAACTATAAAATTAATTATTTTCAAATATATTTATATATTCAATAATAATTAATTTCAAATTAATTTTTTTAAATAAATAAACTGGAACTTAAATGAACAATATCAGGCAACAAGTTTATAAATAATAAAAATGTTGTTACATTTAGATTTTAAAAAGTAGATTTTTTGTTTGAAAATAAGGGCATGTGTTCCTCATTCCGAATGTATATTATCAAACCCAAAACAATAGCATTCAACTTTAAATTCAAATGTATTCAACTTTGTATTCAGCATTTGTGTTCAACTTCGTATTTAACATTCAACTTTAACATTCAAAGCGTAGACCTTATAGCATTAGAATTTATAACTAGAAATTCGAATTTATTAACTTAGAATTGAAAAAAATGTAACACTGTGTTGGTACAATATGTGCAATGTGCATTTTTAAAATTATGTCTGCCAATGTTTATTAGTTTATTGAATAATATGAATAAATTCAATGTTAATTTTATTGCAATTAATAAACTCACCTGCTACTGTTAATTTAAAGAAATTCCATTTAAAAGTAACAAGAGGCAGCTTTAGCCAATTCTTCTTTCTTTAATAAAATTAGAAGCTTAAAATGCTTTTTTTCAGTTTAGCAATCGTAAATTTTATCACAAGACTTGAGGTTATTTCAGATGGCAGCAGTTCATGGGCTGAAACATTGTTCTTTATGGAACTATGTTTGTTATTTTTATCCTGTAACATCAGAACCATTATTTTCTTTTAAGGTAAGTTTTCACTCATCCGTTTTTTCACAGGAACGGGATAGGAAAGGGAAAAATAATCACGTGAGCATGCGTAGTTTTCCTTCAGACATATTAAAACTTATACTACGCATGCCCACGTGATTATTTTTCTCGTCCCTTTCCTGTTCCCGTGAAAAAACAGATGAGTGGAAACTCGCCTTTAACCTATATGAAAAAGTTGTTTTAGCAATGTTATCGTGTAAAGCAGCTTCTGACTAAACACTGTTTTATTATTAATAGCTTAATTTTTATTTCATGATCTTCGTTTTATTTTGTTTGTTTTTAAAAATCTATTGTTAAAAATTGTTAATTGTATTCTTGCATGAAAAAAAGCCAAGTTTTGCAATAAATATTTTGCCTTACAAAATTTATTCGAAATATGGGAAACATTCAAGTTTTGCAGAAAAGTACTGTTTTATAAATATCTTACAATTATATATTATTAGTTTTTGATTTTCTGATAATATTAATACGCTAATTTAATAGTAGTAGTTAATAGTCGACTTACGTCATTTTCTTGGCTTTTCTATTTTAAAGTAGTTTCTAGGCTTTTCTATATGCGGGTTTTTTTTTTAATTTTATTTACTAACAACCCATATTACGGGTTGCTTACTGCTAGTTTTAGATTAATATATAGCATCAAGTTGAACAGTATATAGATTTGAACATTGAACAGTATATAGATTTTATTCATTTAAGTCAGTCTTATGTTGTTGGTTTATCAGGCTTTTAAAATAAGTTTTATTTGCAAATAAAAACTTTAATGTTTTCATATTTAAATATTTTTCTCTATTCTCATTAGTCTTATATCTTAATTTATTAATCAGTTTTCCTTTTAAAAAAATCACACAAAATTAAAGATTTCAACAAGAAAGCAAAATCTGTTTGAGATTAGGGGCTGTTGTAGGCTAATCCTGTTGGTTCGTTGCATCCATGAATTGAATAAAAAAAAAGAATAACTCTTTAGGTCTGTACGGCGACGCAGGTGTGAAATATGACGCGAGTATACCCGATTTGCATATTCAACGTCAAATGATAAAGTATTTTGCTTTCGCACTACACCTGGTATCCATGGTTGGTCACATTTTGTTTCTTGAGTTGGCTTTACCCACACCTTGTCTCCCTCTTTGAATTTCGTATTTACGCCTTTCTCGTCTGAAATTATTTATTTAAATATTTCCTCCGAATATCAATACCTGGGATGAAACAAGTTGATTTTTTCTTGTATTGCTTGGATGGACTTTCAGTACAATTGGATGATATTGTCTCGTTGGACAGCTAGACTGCCAGAGCGATTGAACAATGTGAGCAAGCAACCTGTGTATGCGTTCAACTATACCATTACCTTGAGCTCGATGTGCTGCTCGATATTCCAAATTAACATTCCATTCTTCAGCAAAGCTTGTTAACGTGTTGGACCGAAATTCGTTGTCCATTAGAAGACATACCGGCAGTCCAAATAAAGAGAATATTTCTTCAAGTTTACCAACAACTTGAGCAGCTGTTTTAGTTACTAGTTTACGCCATATTGTAAATCGTGATGGACCACAATCAATCATCAATAAGTAAAGTTCAGCACCTACATGTGTCACGTCAATGGCAACCCGATTCCAATTTTTTTCTACGCTTAGTTGACCATGCTTCCACTGTACGGAGTAAGGATCGATGGAGTTGCACTGGTTACAATTTGCTATTACTGCTGAAACCTCTTTACGTGATACATACTGGTTATTTCGCAAGCAAAGTTGTAATGTTCAAGCGACACCAAAGTGACCAATCGAATGAATTTTCCATATGTCTTTTTGTTCAGGTAATCCAACTTCACACACTGTTCTGCACCATTTTTGAGGGATTCATGAGAGTCGATTAGCCAAATTTATTTCGGATGGAATCTATTGTACTACAATCTGGATACCTTTTGCCACTTCCTTAATAGTATTTAACTGTCTTTGTACTAACAACTGAGAAATTCCATGAGTTTTTACATGATATTCTTCCTTCAAAACTGCGTTTAACCATCCTATGGTGCTCTTGCTATCACTGTATACTGTTAACTCTTTTATGTTCCACTTACTAGCTAAGTTTAGTCCTCGAAGTATCGAATCCAGTTCACTTATATTGATATGGTGTGTGTCACTTGCTGGCCGTAGCCATGCTGCGTCTTCAACAACTACTCCACCAATGAGCAGAACTACCCCAAGTCCTATGGATGATGCATCACAATAAAGCTCAGCTTTTCTATTCACTAGTACCAACCATTTTCCACCAACCGGATCCTCGTTTTCCACACGGTAAAGCAAATCCTTCAGTTTTTCTTTACAATCTTCTGAAATAAAATCACACCAAGGCATATTTCCAGCTAAACATTTGATGTATGAAGCTTGTAAATGCAAACTTCCTGCCACTGGGTAATGTCCAATGAGTTTACCTAACTTGCTAAAAAGCTGCGATCGTGTGACTGCATTTAAAGGTTCAAATTGTACCACATTGTCTCGTTTCCATATCAGTTCCCAATTTTTATTTCTTTCGACTCTCAATCCTAAGACACATCCTTGTTCAAGATTTTGTGGAGGTTTACATTGTAATCTGAATTTATGCAGATGCTTCGCTACATTTTCCGCAGTTTCCAGACTTTCATCCACAAATATATCATCAATGTAGTTATCACATGCTTTCTTTACAGTTGGATTTAAATTGAGCACATGCTGAAGAATTGTGGTCATTATTGTTAGAGCCACGTTAATGCCAAAACACATTCTAGTAAAACTATCGTTTCCCATTTATAATCATCGTTTGATATGGCCAGAGTCTTTTATCAATATGAATTTGGAGGTAGGCTTTTTTAAGATCAAGAATTTTTGCATTTTTAATTTTTCTCCAACAACGCAGTTTTTCTTGACAAACGTCCGCATTCGCTGTATGACAATTTACAAATTCGTTGAGAGCGCGAAAATCTCCCACTGGACATACCTTTTTGTTCTTATTTTCTTGCACTACGCACATTAGCCGTATCAATACTTTAGGTGGTCCCAACGTTAGTTCGTTATATGGTACAAGAATGCCAGAATTAATCCATTGATTTATTTCTTTGCGGTAACTACGTTTGTACTCGGTGTATTCCATCAATTTCCAATTCGATTACCGTTTTACCCAGCACATGCACAGCTCCTCCCAAAGTTGTGATAAGTTTTTGACTTTTTAAAACAAGAGCATGCGTGGATTTAGCATGAATCACAGTGATGGAGCGTTTAGAGCGTTTAGCATGAATCACAGTGAATCAATGCTGTTTAGAGCATTCCATTTATTTTCACTTTAATGATGGCAACTTCATTTCTGGAAGAATACTGGATGCCATTATTTCCAAATTCTCCCTTTTCTTTTTAAACTTTGCAATCGTTTGAAGCAGTCTTTAGCTTGATGATCGTGTGAATAAGTCTTGCATTTTGCTTCGCAGTCCCGTGCAAAATGTCCAAGTTTCCCACAATTGAAACATGTAACTTTGTTCGTGTCGGACACACTAGATGTCTGCGGAAGTAACGATGTTGCCGCAATCATTACATTATCGGAACCATCTAATTGTCGAGCTTCCTGGGTTACTTGTTCAAGGGTAACAGCAATTTCCATAGCCTTTGCAAGCGTTAGTTCTTCAGATTCTAGTAATAATCGTTTGATTGTAACACTATCGTTAAAATCCGTGATGAAGTGGTTGCGCATTCGATCATCTCTATCCGTGAATTTGCATCCTTCAGCAGCTCTTGTGATTCGTCGTGAAAATTCCGTCACACTTTCGTTACTTGCATTTTTTATAGTTGCAAATTCAAAACGTAATATTAACAATGACTTTGGTTTAAAAAGCTTCATGATATTTTCCTCGATGTCTTCATAGGTAACTGAATCTAACCATAGGTAACTAAATCTTCCATTGCAGAATAAATCTGTGGTGGCAAACATGTTAATATTATTGCTTTCCTTTTGGATTCAGGTACGTCCATCGCAGTTATGTATGTTCGTAGTTGGCTGACAAACAGCTGATGGTTGCCATCGAATACCGGTGGCATAATTGCCGAAATAGCTTGTTGGTTCGTTGCGTCAATGAATTGAATAAACAAAACGTATTATTTTATAGCTTTCTTTTAACCTCACTAATTCTGTACAAAAATCGTCTCTATATATAAAATAACAAAAAGTCCCATGAGAATACTTTTAATTACAATTGAAATAACCCATGACTTTCAACACATATCTACGTGATTTTCAACATGCACAATTCACCAACATAAAAAAGAGAATAAATCCACGGTAATGACTTTTTTTATAATTAAACTAATTAAGCCTTATTTTTTTAAAAATGTTTATATTTATAGCTTATTTTATTGATTAATTTAAAAAATGTAAAACATTAGTTAGACCATGTCTTTTGTAGTGATATATCTTTCTTTTTCTTATTTCTAGAAGATACAAAGGGAGTAATGCGACTTTAAAGAATTAAATCAACTATTGTTAATAAGAAGTTTTACTTTGTTTCCATTAGTGAAAAAATAGCCTTTTTTCTTTCTATTTTACTGGTTCTCAATTTATTTATTTGTGAATGTTTTAAATGTACTCTTTAACATTATGTATAATCAAAGTATGAAAATACTCTTATCCAAACATGCTCTTTTTTTTCTTCCATGAAATAAAAAACAATTTGCAATACAATACATAAGTTTTAATTTTAAAGTCAAAGTTGAAAATGGTCAATCTGATCCCTTTAAATATACAAAGAAACTTGCTGTCTACCACCTTAATCGGTACAAAAAATTTCTATAAATTTGAATAAAGAATAACATTGTTCAATTTATTGATTTTATTAGCATGGCAAAGAACGGCAGCACTGATAAGATGTTTGGCTTCATGTCCTGAAGATACATTAGAAGAAAAGGTTGAATATTTAATATTTAAAAAGTGTGTTTAGGATCTTTTTTCTGCTTTTCCTTGACTATAACTTCTTTTCTAATTTTATAAATGTAGCAACGTTTCTTACTACCATAAACATTCTCTGTCTGATTTAATTTCTCACTTTGCTCTCTTCACTCAAGCCAAAAATTGAATTTTTGTAAGATTTGTATAGTTTCTAATAAAAATCATCATAGGTGTAAATATTAGGTTTTAAAATGCTTTAAAAATAAATCTGTGTATAATCTACAAATTTATTAAGGTAAACCATGAACTCTCTTCAATCAAGCTGTATATTATCTCTAAATTTATTAAGGTAAACCATCAACTCTCATGCACCAAATTCATAATAAATGTGAGGTGTGTGAGGAGATAGAAGCTTTAAAAGTACTAATAAACAGTAGTATAGGTTTGCATAGCAAAAAGTGGCCCACACTAATTTATTAGACATAAATTCCCAACCACACGTTTGCATGTAATAAATTAGTGTGGGGCGTAGTGGATGGGTGTTTAAATTATATGTTTTAAAAACAAAAATGTTAATTTGAATATATTTGCGGAAAGCACCTCTATGAACTTATATGTATATGTTCAAATTGAAATTAGAACTTTAAACATTTATTTTTAAGAAGACCACCCTTTTAAATTATGTTTATGTTGGATTTATCCAATTTTATTGATAGTATATACAATTGAGGGGGAGGGCTTTTATTTATCACCTTAGAGTACTTCATTTTTACCATTTTTTTGAATACATAAATTTATACAGATTTCAATTTTTACATTCATCTTCTCTTGATACTTTTTTTCGTCTGTTTTCAACAATAACTTATCTAATAAATGTATACCATATATTATTACTTGTCTACGCTTACAGTTTGCCAATTTTGTCCCTAACCGACAAGTTGAGGACTAAAAAAATGACAATATGTCCAGTAATCTAGAGACAATCACAGTTCATTTGGCATTTTATTTATTTATTTTATTCAAAACTTTATTTTCAGTTGATTGTTTACAATAGTTTTATAATCAACAAAAACTAATTAAAATCAACACACTAAACTGTATAAGACAATACAAACAAACATAAATATTGTGAATAAAAAATAAATAAAATGAAATGAAATAAAAATAGCTTACATAGTAAGTAATATTAATGTCAATAAATACAACAAGTTAATTATTTTTGACGTAAAAAATAAATAATAAAAAAAGTTATTTTTGACAGATTTTACAAAAGCAAGATTTTCCGTGCCATTTAAAATAGTTTTTCTGAACATATTTAGACAATTTATTGACATTTCATTGTCTAGAGAGTTCCATAGCGAGGTTGCTCTATATAAGTTACTTTTTATGAACTTATGTTTAGAGACTATTGGTAGGACTACTAATTTTTTACTACATCGAAGACTTAATGGCAGGGATTTTTTGATAAAAAGATCTAAAATAAAATCTAGATTTAAATCATTTATAGATTTAAAAACTTCAACAAAAACCTTAAATTTCTAAGGTGAATACTTGGGATATTATCTATTTTTTGAATTTCTTCTAATGGGAGATCAAATCTTTTATAGACAATGCGAAGTCCTTTTTGATGAATTTTATTAATTAAATTATTATTATACTTTGAACGAAACATCTAAATCAAAGGACAATAGCAAAAGTTTGACAGTATAAAAGCATTGAATAAAACAGTAGCTTGAAGAAGCTCCTTATTCGTGAAAGAGCGAAGCATTTACTATTCGCTTTTCCGCACAGACTTTTAATATGTTATCAAATTTCAAATCCTTATCAATTGTAACCCTAAGAAGTTTAACCTTAGAGGAAACCATGATTTTTACATTTCCAACCATTAAAAATTGATCTTTTACAATTTTTTAAGCCAGCTAAAAAAAATTGAAATTTGTCCGGATTTGCAACCATTTAATTCAAATAAATCATGAAATTGCGTTTGATGTTTCTATTTGAAGACGAGCAATAACACACTCTAGGTTGTTGTCGCAAACAGAAAGAGTGTTGTCATCAGCAAAGTTGCAGATTTCAGAGTCTTATATAAATAAGAAAAAATCGTTCATAAAAATTGGTCCCAAAATTGAGCCTTGAGGTACACCAGATTCCAATATCTAAATATTCAGAAAATAGCGATCCTTGTCTTACCCTCTATTTGCGAGCAGAAAGGTAAGATAATAAGAGTTTGAGACTATCGTAAGAAAACCCATAACCTTCCAACTTAGTTATAAGCAAATCATGTGGAATTGAATCATATGTCTTTGATAAATCCATAAGCATAGCGCCAACTATACCTCCTTTATCCAAGCATTCTTGCCACTTAGTAATCCACACAGCAATTTGTTAAAGCTTAGCTCTATAAAAACCCCTATTTGCTCGTAAATAACGATTTCAAACACTTTTGAGAGAACTGGCAGAATACTTATTGGGCGGAAGTTACACTTATCATTAGGGTCATTTTTTTTTTAAACATGGTATGACATCCGCCATTTTTAAGAAGGACCGGAATTCGCTTTGGGATATGCAATTATTTCTACAAAAAGTGAGACTTTTTCTCAAATCCGTGACATAAGTTTTAAACATAAACATTAGAATATCTCCACTAGTCTTCTTTTTACTATTTAAAGAATAGATAATTTGTTATATCATCTGGAGTAATTTGATGAAATTTAAAATTTTGAGGATATAATTTGGATTTGTTTTTAATGTTTATAATACTGGGATCGTTTGCATATCTTATAATAGCAGGTTTAACAGACACATTTACATTGCAAGGAGAAGGACGATAACTCATCTCACTATTTATAGGTGACGATGCAACGTTTGTGAAATAAAAGTTGAAAATTTTTGAAATTTGAAAGTTATCCGAAATAGTTTCACCATGTTCAATCAACATTATGCGATCGCTCGAATTACCATTTTTATTAGAAAGACAAGGCTTGCATATCTTCCATAGAGATGTAGTGGAAGACTATTCTATAGACTTCCATAGAGATGTAGTAGAACAAATTTACCTTTCTTTGCTTTTTTATTCAAGTTCATTACGTAGTTTCTTTGTTTCCTATAAAGAGACAAAGAAATAAAATTTGGCATAAAATGGCATAAAAATTAAAATCTGGTTACACCATCTGAGAAAGAAAATTGAGTTTGAAGTTAAATGGTCTCTGCAACATTTTCAGCATAAAAAATATGTCGGTTAAATAAAATGATGGGTTAGTACCTATCTAAGTTCCTATTATAACTATAGATTTTGCATGTTCTTTGTTAAAATAGAATCATTTTGGTGGTTTTTGTTGAAAATGTTTTGTTTCTATTTGTAATATTTTTAGTTATATTTTTAGTTTGCACAACGTTGAACATTGGTTGGCAAAACGTTGTATTCAATATTATTTGGAATTAAATTTTCATTAAATTTTATTTTCTTTATATATATAAAATTAATATATATATAAACAATTATATATATATATATATATATATATATATATATATATATATATATATATATATATATATATATATATATATGTAAAAAATATATATATATATATATATATATATATATATATATAAACAATATATATATTTATATATATATTAATTTGTATAATTTCACAATAGCTATGTTTGGTCGAATACATTAGATCAATGTTGGGTTTAGTTTGTAAAAACAATCAACTTTTTGCGATGTATTTACATACATTAGATCAGCGTTGATTTATATACATTAAATCAACGTCAAAATATATACATTTGATCAACGTTGGGTTTAGATTGCAAAAACAATCAACTTTTTGCGATGTTTTTACTTACATTAGAAAAACATCGCTTTATATGCATTGAATCAACACCAAAATATATACATTGGATCAATGTTGGTTTTAGATTGTAAAAACAATCAACTTTTTGCAATGTTTTTACATACATTGGACCAATGTAAATTTGCAAGACATTTTTAGTATCGTTGTTATTAATTTTATCATTAACCAAATGACATTGGATCAACGTTTGTTGCATTGGAAAAAAGAGTCAATGTTCGCAATGGTTTTACATATGTTGGCCCAATGTAAGTGTGCTAGCTGGGTATACAATAAATTTTTACTGTATTGAGAATTTTTAGAATAGGTATTTTTGCTATATACTTAGTATATACCTAAAATAATTTTAAAGTTATTCAAATTAAATAGTTACCAAAATTTAAATAGTTTCCCTACTTTGGGGAAGCAAGATTTTCACAACAAACAAAAAGAATTTTAGACTTCTTTACCTTGGTGTTCCTGATGACAAAGTATAGCAAAATGGTAACCTATTTTAAACTAAACATAGATACATAGTTGTTCAAAGTATTTAAAATTACCAAATGGTCATAATATTAAATTGGCATTCTCATCCTTTAAAATTAATACATATTTTTCAACAAAAGATAAAACTCCTCAACATCTCTGCTTTTGACAAAATTGATTGATTTCAAAATCAATCAATTTTGAAAAACTCAAAAAGCTCATTATATTAAAATTTTACTGCAATACTAATTGTCCAATTGGGTAAATTGATAAAAATATTTGATCACCTTTTTAGAAGAAGTTTGGAAGCTTTTACTTAATCATTTTAAAGTAGAAGTAAGTTCTGATGAATTCTTGGTATACTAATCTAAATCAAGTAACTAGAACATGTTTAAGTAATTGTAGAAGGTTACAAACTCTTGTTATTCAAAGCAAATGCAATGTGTTTTAAATAGTTTTTGTGACTGACTCTTCGGTGGGATAAAAACTGGCTGCGTCTGTTATTGGGCAGATTGTTGTTTTGCCTAAAGAACTAAAAGACTGATCAGAGCACAAGGTGGAAGACCAATGCTTCTCATTCCTGAACCTCCCTGCCAAAATGCAGAAAAGAAACCCATGATATGTAAAAAACCCATTAACAACTGACATGTTCAAGGTTCAAATCAACACTTTTTAACAATAAAATCAGAGGATTTGCATCAACTCTCAGCAAGTCATCTGGAAAAAGGTTTGTGGAATCAAACTTCAGGGATGGATTCAAGGGATGAACTTCAGGTCAGAAAGAAGTTAGAGTTCTTCTTCACAACATCAACTGTTTATGATGCTTTAAAAAAAGATATCTCCACAACCAAACTTGTGCATTGCATCAGTCTGAGTTTGTTGTCTTGGTATCTGAAGAAAGAGGAGTTTCCAAAGCAAGTGGCATCACTAAATTTGGGATTGATGGAAACTTCTTGAAGTTTAGCTTTAGTGTCATTAATGCCAGGAAATCCCACACACAGACTGCATATCAAAAAAGGACAACTCTCAGTGGTTCCACATCTCTAGATTTTGGTGTCAAGCAGCAGCAAATTGTGGCTATGGCTGAAAACTTTCCAGAAAACTACGAAAATCTCAAATTAATCTTTGCTCATTTAGGAACTTTGGCTTTCAAAGTTGCATTTGAAAATTAAACCTACCACGATGAAGAGTTGCTGTAGTTGCTGTAAATAACTGCATAAAGCTTCTCAACAATACAAATCTTTTGAGTAAGCTTTTGACCAAACATCAAGTTGATTCTGCCATGAATTTCATCTAGGCTTTCAAACAATTTTGAAGTGTTGTTCATTGTTTTTTCTGAAATAATCTACCTTTTTCAGATTTTAAGATTCACATCAACGCATTTTAATAATGCTACAGTCACAGTGACTCCAAAAGTTTACGTTGTTTTTCACCACATCTAAAGGTTAATCAAAATTTACAACACTGGCTTGGTTGTTTCAGTGATCAATCATCTGAGGCACTTCATTCAGTCTTCATCTCCCACTGGGCAAGATACAAAATAGGTTTGGACAACCCCAACTATAAGAAAGCAGTTGTTGACTGCATGCTAGACTACAAAAGCAAGCATCTTTTGATTAAAGGCTGAAAAAAATAAAGATCTTTCAATCAGATTTCTGCTTATTTTCAAATACAGAACATTTTTTATGTTAAATTCAAATTACTTTTTTTGTAAATGTTCCAATCAATTCAAAACCTGTTTTGTTGTAAGAAAATTAGTCAAGAAAGAATTTTTCATTCATTTATAAAATAATTTATGATCAGAAGGAAAAATGAAACTTTTCATGATACTTTCCTTATTTTGACTCAAACTTTTGTCTGCAAGCAAACCTTTTACTTAAAAAAGCAATAGATAAAACAGTAGGCAACCTAAATTTTCATTTTTCAATATTTCCCAAGTTTTTCATTTTCCCTCACGGTTCATTTTCAAATGAACAGTAAGTGTCTCTAGGGTACTGGACATATTGTCATTTTTTTGGTCCTCAATTTGAGTATTAGGGCCAAAATCAGGGCAAACTGTGCGTGTTTTGTACATATCAGTTTAGACTTATATTATCTCATATTTATGCTATTTTTTCTATTACATCCTAATTTTCTATTTGCAGCAGTAAATCACTTGATGTTGCTTAATAATAGTCTAAAATATTATTTTGTACACAGTTTTCACAGATTTTTCTTTTTCCTGCTGTGTTAAAAATATGTATAAGTTTTAAAAACTGTGTTAGAAGTATGTGTAGCTTTGTTAAAGGATTTTTTGTTTTTTGTTATATTAGGATAAAGAGCGTTTAGTTTCTTTGCTGACAGTTAAAGTCCGAGGCGCAGATGAAGCAGTCCTTGATAGTTACACACAATTCGCACAAAGAGCCGCTAAAGTTCTCCAACTGGACACATCTGGGAAGTAAGTAAAAAATATACTTTAATTTTTTTCAGATATTGCTTCAAATCATATTGTAATCTCTTAGTTCCTATTTATAAAAAAAAGTTAAAAACTAAGAAATTAGAAGCAGAATAAATGCAAATTTAAAAATATTTGAGATTTTACTTTTGTTGAATGTTTAAGAAGTAACATTTCACAACTATTTAGAATAATTCTCCCCATGCACATAGAAAAAAGAACTTTACTAAAATCTCCACATATAAACAAGAAGCACAGAGTGCAGTATGAGTTGCGCACGCACGCGAGAATGTTCCAGGTAAGCTTTTAAAAATGACAAGTTACTTTTAACTATTTTTGTGACTCATTTTTTATTTTTATTTTTTTCATTAGCTCCGTGAGCTTACAGGAGATACTGCAGATATTTATTTGGAGTATATTCAACGCAACATTCCTGAGGGGGTTAGCATGAGTGTCGAACAGACCGAACTTGAACAATTACCATCTTTCTTACAACGAAATTTATAAAAAAACAACATGATTTTAGTCGAAACAAAGTTTAAATTTGAATATATAATATAGACATTGTTTTTGTTTTATATTTTTTATTTACGTGTATAGGCAATAGCTACATTATTGACAATATAGTTTTTAAAATGTTTAATTTAAAAAAATTATTTAAATTTTTTGGTTGAGAATCCGAACTATTTACATAGTGTTTAGTTCATACTGTATACACAATTTTTAAAATTTTCATGTAAAAGGCAGTGTTTGATTATAAAAAAATACTCTTTGTCGGATAAAAGGTGGTTTCCGTAGATTCTTATATAAATAAAAGCCCATTTTTCATTTTATGTACTAAAATACGCCTTATATTCATATCAAGCACAATACTTAAAAATATTTAGGTTTCAAATTATGTTATGCGATCCTTCTTAAATTGGTGTTCTCCTAGAATTATCACCTCTCTAAAAATCAAACTTTGAAAGGTTTTGATAACTTAACGCAAGTTTGTAGATATAAAATTTTTTATTTCCTCGCATTAAAATTTAACTGCTATAAAAATGTTACTACTCTCGAGTTCCTAATAAACGTCCCCTCCCCCCGTTTATTAATTTTTGTATATTTTCCCCACCTACCCTAAGCTTATTAAGACTCCCCCGTTTATTAATTTTTACTTGTTATCAACAAAAAAATTATATATCTCAAAAGTAAAAAAAATAATTTAGTGAAAATCGACCATAAAAATTTGAAAATAATTTTCAGTCGATAAAACAAAATCTTTCAGAAAAAATCTACCCCCTCTTCCATCGTTTATTAGATTTTGACTAAAATTTGTATTCCGTTGTATTCGGCACTCAAGAGTATAGTTACATAGAATAGAATAAATAGTTACAGGGTTATGAAAGACAAATATAAAGAAGTGGTGAGGTTAATATAAATTAATGGAAACAAAAGAGAAAGAAAAAAATGTTACTCAAGTGAGCAGCGGGTATTTTTTGTTGTGAACAAAAAATACCCACAGGAAGTTTGTATTTAGAGGAACTCTAAATACAAACTTTTTTATATAAACAAAACTTTATTTAACATTACTCACTTTAAGAATTTGAACTGAAGACTGGTTTTAGTATTTAATTTAAATAGTTTTTAAAAATTTTATATATAAATTATTTTTTTAATCTGTTAAGAAAAGATTTTTTCTATTGAAGCTTCAATACATAGATACAATAAACTCCGACCCGCTGAAGGTTTGAAGGCACCTTCGAAGGTACCTTCAAACCTTCAGCGGGTCGGGTTTAGGGTTAATTAATAAGCGGGTCGTTGATACGAGTTTCAACATAAAACGGCAAAACAGTAGGAACGGGCTTTATTTCCAGACTATTTATTCTTATGACTATGGGGCCAGGTGGTGGATAAAACCTAAAAAATAAATACTCATTATATTCAAAACCATATAATAAAACATACTTTTAATATTCTTATTTAAAAATTTGAAAATTGTTTTGAGTATAATAGTATCTTTTAAAACCACAAAAGTCAGTTGCGGTTTCATGTATTATGAAAATTTTTCTTTCTTAAAAAAAAAGCGTGCGTTTTTTGTTTTTTATACATAGCTATAGTAAATAGTCACTTTTAAAATTTTATAAGCTTACGGGATTAATTTATATATTTAACCGTAAAGTTTTTCGAAAAAAAAAAATTAAGTAAAGATCCGTCTTTATAATACACTTATAATCTGGCTTTAAAATAAGGAAGTAAATTTTTAACATTTATTAGTTTTATTTTGTACAAAAAGTGTCACATTATTTAGGGAACCTACGAGAACCCATATTAAATATATAAACTAATAAATATAATATGCACACAACTTATTTGAACTATATACATTGCCCGTAACCTCCCCTTTTGGGCTTCTTTAACATTCTAAAATAATAACTTGTAACTTATGTTATTTACTTGAAATCAAATTTACTTGATATTTTCTCCATGAATTAAAATTTTGTGTACTGAAGACGGCATAAAGTACCAGCTAACATTACTCACATAAATGTGGGCAGTTTTTATAGCATTTGTCCGAAAACTTTTAGCATTTTTCATAACATCTAAGAAGAGAGCTAGTAGAATTATGTAAAGTCGCTTAATCAAATTTTCATTTACTCCAGTGATTTCAAAAGAGCAGCTTGCATTGTAAAAAAATCTCCTACTAGTATTACCATCATTGGTATTACCACTTTCTTGTTTTGGTTTGTCGACGATTAACCCTAGCTGCTCACGAAAACGCTTCTGTACCTTCTGTTTCTTTTGTTGCTTTTTTTCTTCACCTTTAGCTGACCATGTTTGGAAAGACAAGTTGTAGCAAATATGTAATATTATTTCCATACACCAAATCCAGGCATGTAATGTTGACAGTCCATATTGATACAAACTTTTATTTTCAGGCCTAGCAGACACTTTAGTCAAACCATTCATTTGCCGTGGAGTAGCTCCACATATTGTACATGTAGACGCAGAAGGCGTATCCATTAATATCTGAGCCACTTTTCCATCTATCATTGTTAAAAAAAAGTTCATATTTTACTTGTATTCCTTTACAACTTTTGTTAATTATAGATGGCTGTAAAGAATATATTTGGCTTTTTATTTCATCTACAACAATTTTAGTTTACTCAGGAATCTCTTTGCAAAATTCTATGCATATAGGTCGACAAAAACGTACAGACGAAGGAGCCGGATTTTGCCAAACAACTGTGTCAGTTACTTCATCAACTAATTTGATCGGTACCAAAAAACTAATATATAAATTCGCATCAGAAATAAGTTCAGATTCCATCAGAAGTTTCTGCTTGTACTCGCTTTGGCCAGAGGAGTCATCACAACCCCATTTACTATACAAAATTATATGTTTAAATTTATTATTGTATACGGAATCTATAGTCAAAATTGTATTTATTGTGTAATCCAATAAATCTTGCAGTTCCATAAACTTGCATGCGTGTTCGTAATTTCTATTACAGAAGATGGTGGATAGCAAGTTTGTAATCTTGCAACTTGTAATACGGTGGGAGCAAGGAACAGTTTTTTTCGTCTGTCAACTTCCTTAAGTATAAATATTATGCTTTAGTTAAATCTAAATCAATAAACACGCTGAATGCTTCTTCATCTGTCAGTAAAACGTTTGTGTTTTCCATAAAACTCGAGACAGAGACCTTTTTTCTTTTTCGGCAATCCTTAATGCTTCCACAATCTTTGCTTCTGTTTCTTCTCCTATTGAACGTAATGCCTGAAAAAATGCATTAAAGATATGCTCGAATCCAATTTCCTTAACTAATGAGAAATTTTTTCTTTTTTTACTGGTCTCTGTCAAATCTCCATAAGACATGCACGGTCTTCCACGTTTTTCAAATGATGTAGATGGCGTGGGGTCTGTTATTGCGTTTTTCGATTTTAGTAAAAATACACTATATTCCGAATCTAACCAATTACTGTGTTAGATAAAAAAGCGTCCACTTTCCGTGACGCCTTAGTCCATCGTATATTAAACGACGGAATCATTTTCCTTCGAATATCGCTAACAATGATAGAGAAGCTATCCTGAGAAATTTGATAATTTTCTTTTAAAACTATTGATAGTGTCTCAGTTGTTCTTGCTCCATCAATATAGAAAAGTAATTGTTGACGTTTCGAACACTTTAAAGCAGTCATTTAAAAAGTATTCAATTTCCGCTGTGAATTTATTGCAGTTATATTAATATTTCAACTCTTTATATAATATTTTTTAAATGACGCATGTTTACAAATTGCTGATAAAGTTTTCACACAAAATGCAAAAATAAAGGTCGTTTTCCACTAGACGAAATATTCGCGCGAAGCGAATTTTTTCGTCGATAAGCATGCGCAGATAAAACAGCAGAAATGTTTATTACTAACAACTTTTATACAGTGAGTTTTTATAGAATAAATTATAAGTCTTAAATATAACTTTCAAAAGCTGCAAAGTATTTTCATCGAGTTCTTGGACATTTTTGCTGTACGGTTTTCTAATGCTGGTGATGTAGGGATTGGAAGTGTACATAAAAGTATGAAATACGTACTCATTTGTAGCTAATCTAGAACATTTCCTGGCATGACGAAGGCGAAATTTTTTATAACCTTTTTTACGGGATTCTTGCGCATCTTTTGAAAGTTGCCTGATAGGAAGTACTGCAAAATGTTTTATGATATTTTCTTATTGTAAAATTTTATGCACTGAAGACGGCATAAAGTACCAGCTATAATTACTCAAACAAATTTGGGCAGTTTGTAGCTTGGTTTTTCACCACAAAACATGCAAAAATAATTAAATGTCCATCAAAATTAATTCTCTATAAAAATCGGACAAAAAAAACTTTTGTTATAAACAAATAGTCTGAAACCACGATAAAAAGCGTTTTTTTGTTTCTGACTTTTATTATTTTTTTTATCTATAACTTTATAAACTGCACGTATCCGCACCTGATTTTTAATAATCCATTTTTATTGACACCTAAGCTACTAATTAATTATAAAAATAAAGCGTCGGGAAGCGTCAGTGACTGCCAAAATTATCCGTGAGCTTTAAGATTTTTTATTTTTTTTAATTCTTACTTTATATTTCAATTAATTACTTGTAAACAAAACCATATAATTAAAAAAATGAATTTGTTCTAAAATTTCCATAACATGATGCTTTCAAAAATATATAATACTTTATTGTTAGGGGAGAACTTGCACCCTTGATCCGTAAGCACCTTTGATCCTATAGCGTTATCTCCATACTTACAAAACTTATTAAAGAGGGCTGATAACTAGGGATGTACCGAAGCTTCGGCTTCGGCTTCGGCATGCCGAAGCTTCGGCAATTTTGCCGAAGCTTCGGTTCGGCCGAAGCCAGGTCAATTTTTTGCCGAATCTTTGGCTTCGGCAAAATATTTTAAGTAATAAAAGTTCTAAGCTACTGTTGGACAAGTTATAAAAATACGCTAATTGCCAATATCTAATTAAGTTATAAATTCAGGACTACCGAGTTAAAGTTGGAATCTATACCATATACTTAGTATTATTTACTCCCA